TGTGTAATATCTGCAGAGCAGAACTTACCTTCCACAGCAATTATTTTTAGTTAGCATATCGCTAAAATCTAACCATGGTTATATAATAGCAGCTGCATTCTGYDYRGATAAGCTCTATGTTTTATATTCAATTAACGTATGATCGATTAGTCGACTAATCGAAAAAATAATCGGTCATTAATCAATTTAAAAAATAATCGTTTGTGGCAGCCCTAACTACAATATAAATTGTAATGCATAAATAAGTAAATATTTGTCCAGTAAAAAAAAGAATGTACACAAAAATATACACAAATGTGTTCTCTCTTCATATTTTCTCTCCACGAGCTTTGTAAAATATGTCCTTGAGAGAAGAGTGTAACCTGAAATAAAAGTGTGAACTATTATATTGAAGTCTTTATGTTTGACCATAGACAGTCTCATGGCAGTGACGATCATGTTGAGAATATTTTTAGTCAAGACAGCTGCGATTCAATAAATGCCTTGTTTTGTTTGCAGTGTTAGATTAAAGCAAGTGTCTTCACTCAGAGATTGTCAGAAAATTAGAACTTAAAGCTTAATCATTAAATAAAATCCATCATAAATTGCCCGACACAATAAATCCATAATAAAATTTGTTGCCAACGCTTTTATTAATCGATTGTTATCGGTTAGTTGTTGGGGTTTCTGTGAAGAATCCTGTACTGTTTCACGTGGTTCAGACAGTCTTGTGATCTGGATATCGCTACCTGAGTGTAACATTATATCTCTTTAGTTATCTTTATTGTAATTCTAATATTTCATTAGTGATCTCTAGTGTTGCATAATATATCGAAAAATTTATCACCGTCGTTATAACAGCTTGTGCATTATGCATATCACAAAACACTGCATAACCTGCAAGAAATGGTTGGCTCAAAAGTTTGCATTTATGTGGTTTGTCACTCAGATGGAAACTTGAAGTATTTCACCAGTCAAATAGAGCAGGGGTTCTTAACCTTTGTGACTTCGGGGCCCAATTTGTTGAACATAAAGTGGCAGGAGGCCCAGTCAGACATTACCAATGTATGGATCAAAATGATAATTATTCTAAATCTTGGTTTAATTTTTATTGTATTTACATTGTAACTAAACTATCATAACTAACATAACTAAATTAATACACTTACAGTTTAAAAGTAAAACTCCTGTCAAATAATCACAAGACATGATTATGACAAACATTTTTATATTGTAACCTGTCCAAAACAATTATATGAACAAATACAACAGTTAGTCAACAGACCACTCAGGCTTTTCAACACAAATATATATAAACAATAATAAAAATAGACAATTCAAAAAAATTGTGGGCATAAAATAAATTAATTAAAAATGTTTAATGTTTAAATGTTTCAAATAAAAAAACTATAAAAATAAATTTGATAAAGTACAAATGAAAATANGTACAAATGAAAATATAGCATTTTTAAACTTTTGCAACCAGAAGCTGCTCTTCATATTAGTGACAAACAATAACAGTAACAACAGCTTTTTGACATGTTTAAAATTTCTTTAAAATACATTCACAATGTTTAAAAATAAACTAGAAAAAATAATTTAAAGTGCAAATTAAAATATAGTTGTATCTGCAACTGTATTTGATAACTTTTAAAATAAAAATATTGCATGGTAAATCAGAAGCTGCACTTCATATTAGTGACAAACGTTGGTGCTTTTTGACGAGTTACTTTCATTTTTGCTTCTACTTTTCATTTAAAATAAGTTTCCTTTCTTGGCAGGTTGCTAATGTTCTTCTTCTACATATTAAAAAAGCTGTTAAACAACTGAGTGGTGCACTACTGCTACTAGTGGTGAGAAAGTGTATTGCACCTTATTCAAAATCAATGTGCTCCCGCGGCCCTCTGCGGCCCAAAGTTAAAAACTGTTGTTCTTTTGAGGCCCTCAAGGTGGCGCTCGCGGCCGGCCCATGGGTTACGAATCTCTGAAATAGAGCCCTTCATGTATTTAATCAATTAGATAGATCGCGTCATATTTTTGAAAAATTCATTCTGGAACTAAATTTTTTTTTGTTTTGTTTTTTTTGCTCTGAACCCTGAGCATAACACAACACTACATACGTATTTGTTTATTTATAACAAGTCATATCACAGTATTGAGTACTGTTATCACACATCACAGGTTTTCCTGGTATCGTGCAGCCCTGCTAATCTCTATAATAAAGCCAAAATTACAATCTGATTATCTTCACAGAGAGAGAGCATGTTTTATAACACTGGTCAACTTTATGACTACAAGCCAGTTTCTTTGGGCCTGTGTGACCAAACCAGTATTTGTGACACCTTAGCTTCATTTGCAAATTTCAGGCTCTTCAAAACGTCAAGTAAATTATGAGTAGTAAAATTTGGCGCCTCTTGTGTTTACTTTTACTTTAACTCTTGAAGCTACAGTTCAGTGCTGCAAAATAATCATGTAGAAAATTGATTGACAAAAAACAAATAAACACATTGTAGACGTCATCTATGTGGCCGTTACCTTTCTCCCACTAACCTTTAACTCGGTGTATCACTAGTGTCTGTTGTGGAAAATAAACATTTTAGAGAAGCTACACAAACAGGCTCTGTGGTGCAGTAAAGTTAAAGACTGACTGTTAAATGTTGTTTTAGGGAGGCATTTGGTGTCAGCCTATAGAGCAGGGAGTCTCAATTAAAAATCAGTGAGATCCAACTAAAGTTTATATTTTTTGCAAAGGTTTCAGACCAGAAAATATACAGAGTAAAGCAAGTTGGTGTGCTGTTTCACTAAATTTAAACAGCCAAACAGGCTGGAAAAACAACACTGCTTAAAAAAAAGTTACTCGAGCAAGAAGGTGAAAGAAAAGAATTTAGGACTCGATCTAGGTTCAGATAAGATTCCATTTGACTTCAGATCTTGACCACGATCTGCGTCTCGGCTGCAGGGCACCAGTTAATGCAGCTTTCTTCTACATTGTTGTGATTTTTTTAGCTCTTCTGATCTGAGTAGTGCTTTGTTCAGACACTGATTGCAGCTGTTGTTGTTTTCAAATTGTTGTTGTTTTCTCCCCACAGCTACGACATGGTGCACTACGGCCACTCCAACCAACTGCGGCAGGCCAAAGCTATGGGAGATTACCTCATTGCTGGGGTGCATACAGATGGTAAGACTGATGTGTGTGATGCAAGTGTGACTGAATACTCCCCTCTGATTCAGTAGTTATTTATTCTTAATTTGTTCAACTTTGTAGATCGACCTTGTTACAGCAGCCACATTTGATGAAAATTAGAAATGAACTAGTGATGAAAATTAATTAGTAAATAAAACATTTCTGTGCCACTATATAGCTGTAAACCCCTCTCTTAAACTAGCATGAACTGCTCTGGAAGCTGGGGGGTGGTGGGGTGGGGGCATCTTGTTTGGATTTAAAGGGATCCCTGATTAGTTGTAACATTAGACTTTATTTGATAAACATTTATTTTAACTGTAAAATAAAGACTGTAAAAATACTGTAGGCTGTTAAGTTTTGTAAATTTTTAAAAATATATTTTAACACGGACTGAGCCATTTTATTTACACACAAAGGATTCTGGGTAACTGATGACGTGGATAGGTCCACGGTGTGAGGTTGCTAGCAAGCTATATCCACCCTGAAGGTTAATCTTGGATGAATGGCTCTTTTAAATAAAACCAGAGAGCGTTGACAGAGAGGAGAAGGTAGAAATGACTCAGCCTGTGACTGAAAATATGGATGGAGGACAACAGAGCTGCTTCATGGAAGAAGAACCTCAGCTTAGCCTGTTAGCCTTCATGCTAGCACAGATGCTATATTGCCTTATACAGTATGTATTAGCTTGATGGTAGCGCGGCAAACAAGCTAAACTGAGGTCCTCCATCCATATTTTCAGTTGCAGACTGTCATTTTTGCGTTCTCCTCTCTGTCATGTGGATGGAGGACCTCAGTGATGAGAGGATGATAGCATCGGGGCTAATGCTAAAGCTAACAGGCTAAGCTGAGGTTCTTCTTTCATGAAGCAGCTCTGTTGTCCTCCATCCATATTTTCAGTTCCAGGCTGAGTCATTTCTACCTTCTCCTCTCTGTCAACGCTCTCTGGTTTCATTTAAAAGAGTCAATCATCAGATATTATCCAAGATTAGCTCACTAGCAGCCTCGCACCGAGGACCTACCCACGTCATCATTTACCCAGAATGCTTTGCGTGTAAATAAAATGGCCCCGTCCGTGTAATATATTTTTAAACTTTTAGCTTACAAATTGTAAAAACTAAACATCCAACACATTCTCACTCCCGAGTCGTCACATATTGACGTTTTTCAAAGGTCCCTTTGCGTCCAATTTTGACGCATCAGGTACCCCCCTCGCGTCAGTCCTTGCCGCCCGCGGATTTTCCGGGTTGCGCCACCAGGGGTCTTTGGGTCGGGGGTCTGAGGTTAACCTTAGGGATCAGGATAAATGGTTAAGTTTAGGGACTGGGGTCAGGGATAGGATGTCTACAGTGAACATTAGGTAATTTTAGGCTTTGCAACACGTAGTTGCCATGAATTTCCTACATTTTCTAAAAATGGTTAATTTTATGTATCAGGGTTAATGGTTAATTTTAGGTACTAGGGTCTGGGACAGATGTCTAAAGTGAATAAACGTAATTTCACGCTTTGGGACGGTAGTATTTGTGCATTTTCTACACTTTGAAAAATTACGACAACAGATTCCGCCCCATCCCGTCAAAATATGACGCAAGGGGGGTACCTGATGCGTCAAAATTGGACGCAAAGGGACCTTTGAAAAACGTCAATATGTGACGACTTGGGAGTGAGAATGGGTTGAAACATCCTACCGTATTTTTACAGTCTTTATTTTACAGTTAAAATAAATGTTTATTAAATAAAGTCTAATGTTACAACTAATCATGGATCCCTTTAAAGGAACAGCATCAAAAAAAAGTTGACCTCAGAAAAGAGCTGAAAGAGGGGCTTGTGGAGTTACAATAAGAAGGAATTCAGACCAAAACCTTTCAGTTCCACTTTTTGTAGACCCCAATTGAAACATTTAAATGTAAAAAAGGATTTCAGCATGATATGTACCCTTTAAATCTTTCTATATATTTCCGTACCTTCCGTATGCTGCTAACCAACAGTTAGCCTTACTTATAAATGAAAACACCATATAAGAGCTAACTTGACTCACTTGGAGTTTATTACTGAAATTTATACACAAGTCAATGTCAAATTTATTTGTATAGCACATTAAAACAACAAAAGCTGACCAAAGTGCTTCACAGTTCAGTCAAGACATAAAACAAACAAACAAACAAACAAATAATAGATGCAAATACAGAAACACAATATATGAAAAAAGTTCTAAATGAACCTCCAAATCTTAAACATAAACCAAAGAAAATAAATGGGTCTTCAGCAAAGATTTAAAAGCCTCATCAGTCTCTGCTGACTGAATATTAAGAGGTAAACTGCTCCACAGTTTTGGAGCAGCTAATGCAAAGGCCCGGTCACCTCTAGATTTCAGTTTGGATCTAGGGACATCTAACAGGAACTGGTTGGTAGACCTGAGTGCTCTGACTGGAGTGTAGATGTTAAGAAGATCACATAAATATGACGGGGCCAGACCATTAAAAACTTTAAAAGCCATCAATAAAATCTTAAAATCAATTCTCAGGTAAACAGGAAGCCAATGGAGAGAAGTCAAACATAGTCATTAGGAAATACATTTATGTTAGGATATCTTCAGCTTTTAGTTATAAACTTACATTTTTCAGAAAATGCGAAAGAAAATATAAAAAAGTTTTCTGCAACATGTTTCAGGTACATGAAGCTACATTAGGACAAACAGCTCTGCAGAGCAACTACGCAGCTGCCTCTCGTACCACGGCAGCACAGATTAACATTAACAAGTGGATTTTTAGACATTTGAAAATCATTCAGGATCTTTTTTGTCTGCAATGCATCTAAAAACATAGCTTTCAGCCCCACACTCTGAATAAACCGTGGTATTTCATGATGGCAAAATAAGAACCGTTTTTGTGAAACGCTCTAAGTTTGATGTAAATTATTTTAGTTAATATCTGTGTAATACTGAACAATTCAACCTCCAAATCTGTTTTCCAAGAGGAGATTTCCAAACACAAGGGGCCTCCAGTTTTCACTCAGGAAGAACGGTACAAGATGGTGCGTGCAATCAAGTGGGTGGATGAGATTGCAGAGGGAGCCCCTTATGTGACGACGCTGGAGACTCTGGACAAATACAACTGTGATTTCTGCGTGCACGGCGGTGAGCCACTTTACTTCCTGTTGAATCACATGTTAATGTCGGAGAGTCTTTTGATCATTTCTTTGTTTGCGTTTACATGTGAGGTGAGATTATTGTTCCTGTTTGCAGATGACATCACGCTGACGGTAGACGGGAAGGACACGTATGCAGAGGTGAAGCAGGCGGGTCGTTACAGGGAATGTAAACGCACCCAGGGTGTGTCGACCACCGACCTGGTGGGACGCATGTTGCTCATGACCAAAGCCCACCACAGCAACTTGGTGAGTTGGCAGCCCTGTCTTTGTTATGTTGTTGTTTATCCTCCTGATCTAACATGTTTATTTTTGCAGAATAACACAGATTACCAGCAGCATACAGACAACTTTGGAAAGGTAAAAACAATGCTTAATAGTCACTGCGCTACATCCTTCCTTGTGACAGAGATAGGTTGCTCAGTTTTTTTTTTTTTTTTGTGTCCAAGGGTGCTACAGTTCACAGTCCTTGGACAGGAGTTTCTCAGTTCCTACAAACATCTCAAAAGATCATTCAGTTCGCCTCAGGAAAGGAGCCTCAGCCTGGAGACACCATCATCTACGTGGCCGGAGCTTTCGATCTTTTCCGTATCCTTATTTTCATGGCGAGGAACCTTTAAAAAAAACCACAGAGTATGACATTCATGCTGCCTTGACTGCACATTTTCTGCAGACATCGGTCATGTTGACTTCCTAGAAATGGTTTATAAACAGGCAGAGAGGCCTTACGTCATCGTGGGTCTGCACTTTGACCAGGTACGCTCAATGACCCGCTAATCTCCGCCAACAGAAGGAGCAGAAACAAGTTAGGACAAGATTATTATCATTATAAAAGACAGAAAAACTGTTCCACCTTGAACTGTTTCACATTTACAGTCAGGGTTCCAGCAGATCCTTAAAAAGCATTAAAAGGCATTGAATTTATCAATCCAAAAATAAGGCCTTAATTAGCCTTAAAATGTCTTAAATCAATCTTTCACAGGTCTTAAAAACATTGTGGCTTAATAGGATTATTGTAATTCATCTCAGATTTTTAAAGAATTGGTAACATTTAGTTTTTAAAAATAATTTTACTGAACGCCTCTCAGAGCTCTGAGAGGCGTTCAGTAAATGATTTTGTTAACAAAATTTTGTTTTGTTAAAATAAACATTTGGGTAAAATTGTTGCTAAGTTTTTTTTTCCTGATGCATTTCATCTCTTCTTAATCTTTTCTTTTAGATTTTTTTTCGTATTGTTTATTTATTTATTTTTTGTGAAATTGGTCTTAAAATAAATTTCAAGTGACATTAAAGAGGTCTTAAAAAGTCTTAAATTTAGCTTGTTTTAAGCTGTAGGAACCCTGACAGTTCATCTCATCAGTAGAACTGCGAAAGCACCTGTGATCTAATTTCTTTATTTTTGCTGTTCTCAGGAAGTGAATCGCTACAAAGGGAAGAACTACCCAATCATGAACATCCACGAGAGAACTCTGAGTGTTCTTGCGTGTCGGGTGAGCTCACACTGATAGTTTAAGGCTCGGCACAGTGGGCGATGTGTTTCTGCCCGCTGAAAGCTCCACTCTGTGCTCTTTTTCCTCGCTGTCAGCCAAGAACAATAAATCTCTGTTAGCCATCTGCGTCGTGCGTGTTGTTGTGAGTTATGGGAATGTTACACAGTTTTACTGTAAGGCCACGAAAGGGATGGAATCTGCCGTCAGTGCTGCACTGTGTCTGAAAATCAAGAACTCATCTTTGTGGTTAAAGCCTGACATTCATTTAAAAAGCAGTAATCTGTCTTAGAGAGAAAGCTGTGAAAGGTTTCATAGTTTCAGTTTAATTAATTTATTTTTTTGTCCTGTGTGCCTGCAGTATGTGTCAGAGGTGGTGATTGGTGCTCCTTATGCTGTGGGCAAAGACCTGCTGGATCATTTTAAGGTTTGTTTCCTTTAAACTGATTTACGTTATTCACAGTTTATTTAATTAGTAATACTTCATTCATGGAAGTCTTAACAAAATCAGTCATAAATTATGGCCTGATCTATAACAATATGTTGAAACAATCAGATTTTAATATGTCTTTACTTAAATTGTAATTTGTTTTTTTATACATGTGCATATTAAGCCTTTTTGTTAACTGTATATTACATGTTTTTTAAAGTGGTTGTGACGTGCTTTTGCTTCATTTACAAAAATTAAAGAAAATATCCTAATATTTCAGAAATTTGGCATCATTCATATGATTTTTACTCAGTTTGTCACAAAACGTGAATATATTTTGCTAAATTTGGTGCAGTCCAAGTGAAACAGGAAGTGATGTCAAAGGGCAACTCTTTAAAAAAAAGAGGGTAAATTCCTATAAAACTGGCGTATGCACAATGTGAGCCCAGAAACTTGCGTACGCCACTTTTTACGCCAAGGTTGTGATTTATAAAATCCAAACTTGATGTGAAAATGTGCGGTGCCTCACGCCAGCTCTGACCCATGCGTACGCTCATTTTGGAGACGGGAAACTGCGACACAGATGGTGAAGTGAAGAATTAGAGCCACACTGTGTAATGATCACTGTCAGATATTTAATTTACCTTCAGAATCAGACTTAGATTTTTATTCAACTTTATCATCAGTTTTCTTAACAATAATATTTATGCTTCTGCTGCTGCTGAGCCATGAGGACCTTTGAAATAAAAAACTTAATCTTAAATAAAAGTTCC